GTTGTTTTCCAACTCCTTCTAGGAGATCATCCTATTTTCAAGGAGTCTTGATCTTCTTTGAACTAATCCTATCATATCTCTTATCTAATGATCTAATCTCAATCTTCTTATCTCTCTAGGATTACATTCAAAACTTTAGATCTGATAAGACTCTCTCCTTGGAGATTACATTCGAAATTGGGACTCTTGGCTCTTGATTTCGAGTTGGGCTGCTTTGATAACTTGGGCTGTTTCAAGGTATTTCTGCAAGTTGGGCTTCAGTTGTGAAATGGGCCTGGCTGCGAACTTGCTCCAACTTCGGGCTCATTTTCGTACTCGATTCCTGCCGAATCTGTCAAAACCCAAAACATAAAGGTTGTGGGCCTTCCTTTCATCTTTCTAATTCTTCTTGAATTGTCCAATTCAGAGTCCGGAATTGAGAGTTATGTCCAGATTATTGACTGTTTCCGAAACTGTGCAAAATCATCCGAATTGCCCTGTTTTCTTCCAATTGCCTTATTTCTTGCCCTGAATCGAAATACAAGAGTAATGGGTCCATTTAAGTGCTAAATTAATGTAAAAGAGTGATTAATTGGGGATAAAAATATGGTACTTTTTAGTCTCATCATAGTGCTCACCCATCATATTCAACCACGCCAAGGTACCGTAAGAGAGTTCCCATTTTCTAGTGAAGCCCCTCCCACATCGGTCTATGACGTCCCTATCATCATATGAAACAATCCAACAGATCCAGCAGCAAATCGGTTGGCCCATTTTCTGGTGCTTCCCCTCATCACTTGAAGGACCCGTCTTCATGCTAATGGCGGAAGGCCTTTAGAGAGTCCATCATATGGATCTCCCTATCATATGCACTCATATTTCAGGAGGGACAAGTAACGCCCTAGATTTAGGTCAAACCTAAGTGGCTCCCACTGGCTTTCATAAAGCCAGATTTCTGGTGGCCCAATTCGGCTAGGGTTTCCGCATGTGTCCTTTTCTGGGGTGTGGGGCCCACCATGAAGGGAAGGTCATCAATGACCATTAGGGACACCATGGCAATGATGTGCATTCAGCCATGGTGTGTGCAAGAGCCACTATGGCCCATGAACGCAGCACATCACACATCCATACATCACATGCAGGAAGAATTGATCCAATCAATTAAATATCTGTAAAGCCCATCTTAAAGCCCATTCAAAGTCCATAATATTAACATTTAATTTTATCTAGGTATATGGGTTGAATAGCAGTTCGGCCCATATAGCTTTCATGCGAATGGTGGGCTTTTAAAGTTTTAACAATTTAAAACTGGGCCTTACAGGTTGGGTCGAATTAATACTTGCAATTAAACATCACTCCCTGACCCAAAAGTGGGAGAAATCAGGACTGAAATCAGCCCCGATTGAACCCTAGATTCTATCCAACTGATTTGGTCCAAATCTGGTTCGAATTGGTCTGGGTTTGATTTTTAATTCAAGATTAATGATCTGAAATTAAATACTGAAAGAGAAAAACATAAATCAGTCAAGTAGGGCTGTTCAAACTCTCCTCCCTGCAAAACAGAGGTTATTTCATAGTTTGCAGTTTCATAAACTGCAAATCACAGATAGCGATTTTCATATCTGCGAATTCTCCTTCCAGCGCCGCCAACTTCGATCCAAAAATAATTCAAAAGTAGAAAAACCTAATTTTCTATTAATTATTACATCAGATCAAATCCTATACATCCAGTCTAAAAAATAAAAAAAAAATTATTTACAGACCAAATGTAAAGAATAAATAAGAATCTGCAAATCGCAAATATCCACGCGCCAAGAATAAAAGATTTCGATCTCCATTGTACGAACAGCCCATAAATCAAGAAAATTATAAAGAACCATTCCAAATAAAATTCAGATTTATATAAAATTTAATTCCAGATCATTCGCCCAAAATTATGGGAACAATTTCCCAAAAAACAAAATCTATACAAATAGGGTAGAACGCCTTCTGCCCATTTGCGCAGGTTCAGATTTGAACAATTTTGATTCAAAATTTGAACCATGGCTCTGATACCACTGAAGGAATAGAAACATCCATCGTATGGACACCCAGATAATGCGGAATAGAATGGGCAAATTTCAAAAATTTCTTTCCTTCCTACAATTGGGAATCACATTCCCTAATTTAGAAAACTAATTTTCAAGTATCAATCTTGAATCAACAGCCGAACCAGATGTGAAACAAAACAGTAGGAGAGGGAAATACCTGATACGGAGAATTAGTAACCCCCAATGAAGGTGTTCACGCCCAAAAAAGTCACCAAAGACTGCTCCCACTGAAGATGGCACAGTGTAGGACAGAGCAGAATCAATAACGTTCTTCACAAGAACTGGATCCTTCGCAAGAACCAACTGGACGGCTGGTGAGCACAACTTCTTTTCAATTCTTTCACAAAGAACTGAAACCAAGAACACTTCTTGATGACTCCCACGTGAGTGGAGACGAACTGCTAATGGCGGCGGCGACAAGAAGGAGGCGGCAGAGAGAATTTGGCACAATCCCACTTATGTTGATTTCTCTCTTCCAAGTTGTATCTGTATCATGGATGAGTGTAGTGTTTTTAGGCTGCCGCCCCCTCCTTTTATAATCCTAAAGGGATCAGCTCCTAATCCCATTAGGAGATGTTCATCCCCTTAAGTGATAAGGTAGAGTCCTTATCTAATCTGCAGATCATGATCAGCCCTCCTAATCTGATTAGGAGTTTCTAGTTTTGAATCATATTCAAATCTGGTCTCTTACTGAGTGGATAGGGACTTTCCCTTATCCTTTAAGGCTGGCCCACATCTCAGATCCGCCCCATTGAAGCTAATTTAATTAGCCCAGCTCGTATTGGGCTTTTGGCCCATTAGATGTATGTGCTCACTGAAGCCTTCCAAATTGCTGCCTAGTTGGGCTTTCTCTGTATGGGGTGGGACCCAAACGTTGATCTACACATCAGCCACAAGGGTTTGGCCCAGCCTCTGTCACAAGGCCTAGCCAAATTCACTGGAAAGCCCAGTGAACCCCTTGAGCCCATCATATGGACTCTATGGGCCCAACACTTACACTAAGTGGTCCTTGGGCCAAGCCACCTTGTAACACCCAAGGAATATGGGTAGATGCAAGATTAGCACATCAGGTTTAACCCTCAATGGCCTTACACTTTAACCTCTCAGCCCATAA